CATGATGAGGGGGGGGCAATCAAGTGGCACAATACAAGTTTTGCCTTGGTGCAGGACGGTGGTTCGGTCCAGCTCAGATCGTTTGGGTGGTGGCCAGGCTGTCCAGCAGCGTGCAGCCCTGGCTCATCCTGCACTCGAGCACACAGGTGGCTTGACAGGGGCTTGGCAGCACTGCCCATGCCCCCGGCACGCTGGCGTGGCGTGCATGAGGTGAGCGCCCCAGCAAGCCCTGCTGGCACACTCAAAGCACCTGCTGTGGCTGCGTGTCCCCTTCACTGCTGTGGGGACCCCAGTCCTTACCTTTGTACTTGGTGACGACGGCCGAATTGACGCTCAGGGGCTCCCAGAAGGTCACCTGCACCGAGGAGCTGCTGGCCACGGAGAGGTGGACGTTGGTGGGGGCATCCGGCACTCCTGGGGACAGAGAGTGCACGGACCACTACAGCGAGGACCGTCACTCTGAACCCCTCAGTGTCCCTCCCCCCGCGACCAGGGACACATTCCTGGAGCACTCACCCCCCGTGCACCCATACAGCGAGCCCTGGCTACAGGGTGCGGGGATCCTCTGATGGGTGCTGGTACAGCCCCATGCCTGGACCATGCATGGCCCTGCTCCTTCCCCCAGCGTGGGGGCTGCCCCCCAGGACCCCAAGCCCTCCTGTGGGCACTCACGGGCATGCTCAAACCCTGCCTTCATGCGCTTGTAAAGCCTGTATCGCCACTCCCAGGCCTTGAGCTGCTTCTCCTTCTCGGAGCAGTCGGTGTTGGGCGCCTCATTCACCACCTGCGCCATCAGCTCGTTGACGCGCTGCTCCGCTTCCCGCACCAGCGTGGAGAGATGCAGTGAGCGGCTCTCCAGGCTCACGACTGTGGGGTGGGTGGGCACGGCCGGGGGTCCCGGGAGGGGAGCCAGGAGGAGGGAAGAGAAGGTGGTTAGGGCAAGCCCAGGCTCTGCTGGCACCAAGTCCGCACCCCGAGACCCCATCCGCCCCTCTCTGTCCTGCTTCTGGGCTCCACTCGAGTGCATCGCTCCACCTGAGCCCCTGCTACAGCCTGCACCAGTTTCTCAGAGCCCAGTGACTGCTTCCCCACCCGGACCCCGCTGCCTGGGGTGTCCCGCTCCGCCAGGTTGGAGACCCAGGTGATGGACACGGCACGGCTCCCCCACGCCAACTCACAGTGTGGGCTCTCCTTTCCTCCCGCCTGCAGCAGGGCCCTGGCGATGGGAGCGTTGTTGGTCATGATGGCGATATCCAGGGGCAGTAGCCCCTCGCTGTTGGGGGTGTTGAGGTCCAGCTCCTCGGGGCTGTACTGCTTCAGCAGCTCCTGGACCCTGTCTAGGTCCTGCAGCTCCACAGCCTCGAAGAGGGCAGCATTGCTCTGGAACTGGGAGGAAGGAGAAACGCAGGTCAGCTGAGCACGGGGCACCCTCCTCCACCTCACCAAACACCCTAGCCCCTCACCAGCACCCCACAAACCCAAACAGGGCAGCCTGGGCTGGTCCCAGGGGCTCGGGAGCATCAGCTCTTTGCAGACACAACTGGATGATGCTGAGCAAACACCCAGACCAGCTCCAGCTGAACTTGCTCCGGGGCGGCTTCACTTAACGCACTCTTGGGCTTCCACCCAGGTGACAGCATCGCCCATACATGGACCCTCCATCCCTGTCTCCCCAGCCACAGCAGCGCTGGATGGAGCCAGCGGGCACTGACCAGGTAGGACTTGCGGAGCTTCTCCTTCTCGCCCCGCCCCGCCAGGCTGCCCTCGTCAAAGGACGTGTAGTTGACGCGGAATTTCCCCGACAGGTTTCGGTAGAGCCTCTTGGCCGCGTTCGGTGAGGAAGGGCCCGGTGGCTTCCTGGCCTGCGCCAGCTGCAGGTCCCGCATCTGCTGCGTCATTTTAGGGGAGGTTGACCTGGGAAAGGGCAAGGAGGTGTGGGGAAATGAGGCATGGAGCATGTGCCAGAAAGGCAGAAGCACATCTGCAGCGTCGGGACCAAGGCATGACCCAGGAGAGCCAGAGCAGTGCCGGGGCAGCACTGATGTGAGCGGCTGCAAGGTAGATGCCGGAGCCAGCAATGCCCTCATCCACCTGTTATCAGCTAAGGCCAGTCCTTTCCCCTCCCCATCACCGCTGCTGGCCCTGCGGGGATCCCGAGGAGCTCGTATGAACCCTGCGGGTGAGGCATTTCCTTCCAGACCCAAGGGCCGGTCTGGCCCCACACTGCCCTTGAGCTGGGATGCCCCAAGCAACCTCAGGCTGCTCAGTTCTGCAACCGGTCCCCATCCCTCACACCAGGGAAATCTCTTCTTATTCCCAGTCTCCACCACCCAGCTCCTACAGAGATGGGCTGCCCCATCCGGGGCTGTCCAGACCCCCTTGGCAGTGGGGGCCGCAGGGACCGACAGCCCCCCCAGCCCCATGCTCGGTGAGTGCTGCCCACCACACACGGCTTGGGATGGCCTCGTGCACCCTCTCCACTTCCATCCTTCTAGCAGGGAGCCACCTCCTGCGCTTAGCGCCATCCCTCAGCCCTCTTTGGAATGTGACTTTCCTCAGGGTCTTTATGCCAGCAAAGGACACCCTCTGAAAGCGAAGCAAGAGCAGGGAATGGACAAAAGGCCGTTTCTAATGGCACCGAGACAACGCCGAGTCCCGATGGGGACTAGTGACCCCCAGTCTCCTGCTCACCAGCAGGCTCCACAGCTGCTCCTCACCTTCTCCATCCACATTGATTAAGCTACAAAATCTTTTCTCCACTCTAATTTTGATTTCTACTTCAAATGGCCATGATAAATATGTACAAGTCACTAGGAAAGCTGGCATCTTTTCTTGGCTTTCCAGAGGGGGAGCTGCTCCTCTCTCTGCAGCCGTGACCCTCATGTCCCCACCAACACCTCATCCCCACCGGGCAAAGTCCCTGGCTTCAGTGCGAGTGTGGCCTTGCTGCTGCGTGAGGCTTTTGCCCATGAGTCATCCCTTAGAGCAGTGAGGGTTTTCACTGGCGTCAAACATCTGATCCCCTTCTTGCCGTAGCCCGTGGCACAGTTCCCAGACAAGGAGCATCAGGTCTAAAGAGCATTTAGCACAACTATGCTTAACAGTTTCTCTCAGTTTTGACCTCATACCCCCATGTATAAGGTCAGATATTTAGGAGCAAGGTCTTCCCTGTATCACTTTATTGGTTAAATATCAAGCAAGGGGTAAGCGTGATAAAAAGCATGACAGTTGTCTAGAAGGTCATGCCAAAATGCTACCACGAAGCTGTGCCTGTGATGATGATGTTTATAGAGCCATCATCAGGAGGCAGGATATTAATAACAACTTTACTACGTGCTCTTCCTCGTCATGATTTCAGATTAGGCACAGTGGGCTGCAGAAGTCCTTTAATGATTTTACCTTTTATTACTGTGATATTTAAAAGCGGAAAACGATGGGGAGGTTGGCTTCTGCCAGTCGCTCATCTCACTAGCTTCAGCCTACGGATTTAGAGGTCTCGAGTGTGGCCCAAGCCACAGTGTCGAGTTGCTGCCCTGGATTCCTCCAGGGATGGGCATTATCTGAACGTAAGTCTTTACAGATCAGATGGACAGACAGTGAGCACCAACCACATGAGCTTCAGGTGGCAAGACACCCCTAAGCAACCATGCAGAGGTTGGTGAGATCTGTGCAGCAGGGTCCTGCTGGTTCTGGTGGGAGGGGAAGGGGAGCAGCTCTCCACCAGGGGGGCATCACCCCATGGGGAGAGACGTGCGCAGCACAGGGAAGTGCTGGAGAACCAGCCCTGGCTCACTGGGACCTGCCCGGCTCTAGATGCAGAGTCCTCAGCTTACGGCCGTGCCAGCCTGAGCACATCGTGTTTCATCATGGTCATGGAGCAGCTCCTGGCATGGCCAGTGCTGAAGACTCCTCATGCCAAGAGGCTCCGCACACGGCACATACAAGCCTCTACAGATGGCAAATACAAGACCCCAGATACCAAAGGAGCAGAGAAGCATCACACAGTTTTGCTGTCACTGGTAGACAAAAATTAAGAGAGAAAAGCCACCCGTGCCTGGGCAGGCAGGGCACTCTGGCAGGAAGAGGCAACCAGGAAGACAGGTCCGGACCCACGGACCAAGCCCAAGAAGCAAAGTGCTGTCTGACATACTTAGGAAAGAGAAATAACTGACTCGAGAGACTCTCCAGCAAAACCTTGCCTTTTCTCTTGTGTATAAGAGCTCCCTGCTGCCCAAGTCCTCCTCTCTCCACCTCCAGCTGCGGCTCAGAGGGGAAGACAGCTCTTTTAGCAGGTTTCTTGACAAGGTGCCCAATTCCTCTGCGGTTCCCATTCATCCAAGGAGGCACCAAGGTTCTCCCACATCAGGAAAGGAAGGAAGACCCCCAAAAGTACTCCCCTGGAAGCTGGGTGAGACCCTGTTGTAACAGATCCCTGCTCCATCCATGCGTGCAGAATCAAGGTTTAAAAAAGGAGTGGTGCTTTGGAGCAAAAGCAATTTTTTCTGCCAATTAAAATATATGGCAAATGACCCAGTACAGGCAGACTGCACAATTTGGAGGAAGTTCTCTCAGAGATGGTAGAAACAGAGGTGACACAGAGAAATTTCTCACTGTTTTCCCTCATCTGATTTGCTTTTAATGAGAAGTAAAGAGACGGAAATTATTCAGAGCTCAGGAGTGAACATCTATCTATACTAAACCGGCTGCCCCAAAGATAAAAGAGTGTCCTGCCCTGTGGTTATGAGTCATCTGGACTCAGTGAAATAGTCTTGATTTATCTAGAGCTAAACTTTGCGGTGGAGCAACTGATAGCTGAAAACAACACCCACAGATGTTGTGCCCTCAAGGTACGACCAGCCAACACCAGCTCGCCCCGATGGCAAAGGCCCATCCTGTGGGGAGGTGGTTGGAGGAGGTCCCACCTCCTCTGGCTTTATAGTCCCAGTGCAGCCGAACTAAATTTATCTCAACCACAATCAGTTCTTGTTGCTAATTATTTACCTACCGACTGCAAACACCGCAGCAGGGGACGGGTGCTTTGCCTGCCCCAGCAGTTCAGTTTTCTGGCCGTGGGATGTGTTTGCACCCATGAGGGAGGTGGTGTGGGCATCAGGTCTGCAATGCCATAAATCCATGTACCAGCAAGCTCCACGGAAAAGGCTGAGGTTCTGCTAAAGGATGCATTGGGGCTGGCCAGACCCACCTCATGAAACCAATGTAATGAGGATTTTTTTTTTTTAAAGCACATGAGGATGGATGTGCACAAGACAACTTCATTTTATCCCTCCTTCTGCAACGAACACAAGCAAATTCACTGGGTAGTTCATAACGTTGTGGTTTCTGCATATTCTGGGTTTTAATGTTTCCAACACTGCAGATCTTGGCCTAGTAAACAGTGTTAATAATTGTTGTAATTATATGATTTTAAGTGCATTTTGTTTAAGGGCGTAGCCTCTCCGAGCCTCCAGCAGAGAACCAGTCCATGTCAGACAGGGCTGCTCTGTCCCGCTGGCGGAGCCCAGACCCTGGGCTGGCTGGAAGGAGCCCTGCCTGCCCCGAGCCCAGTGGGACCCTTCCCTGAGCACCCACGGGGATGGCCCATGCCAGGCACCCGCTGCAACAGATGTGCAAACCCCAGGGGGACTTTGTCCTCCCTGCCGCCACGTGCTCCCATCTCAGGGACAGGGGCTGGAGGTACCTGGACAGGCAGGCAATGACCATCCTGCCTGGAGGTCACGAGATGTGGCTGCTGGGGACCACGGTGGCCATCCCGCACCACCTCCCACCAGTGGGAGCCCGGGCTGTGAAAAGGTTCATGTGCAAGCGATGCTGCCGCTGATGGCAATGGCCTTCCAGCCAAAAACCGAGGCTGCCCTGTCCCCGCCACCCCCCATGCTGGCCGTGGGAGGTATTAGCTCACGGGTGCCCGCCCGTGCTGGCAGCGAGAGGGCAGACTCCAGCCCGCGGCGGCAGACATGAGCTCAGCATCACGCTCCCATCCTCGGGGTCAGCGTGGGCGGCTGTCACTTCAGGAAGCTGCTCCCCGCCGTCTGCAGCCTGATGCAGCAGAGAGAGAGGCCGCGGGGCTCCATGCATGAGAAAAAGGGAGCCCGAAGGATGGAGCATGAAAGGTGTTAATGCTTTGAAAGGATGAGAAGGCTCGGGGCATGGAGGAGGAGAAGGACTGGGTCCTTGCAGAACTCGTTGTAGCCTCGTGGCGCTGTGTATGTCAGTGGTATGTCAGCACAAGCTGCCAGGGATGCTTTCCTGAACTGCGATCCAATTCAGTCCATAGGGTTATCCAATGGAGGAACAGGCAAAGGACAGGAGAAGCCTAAAAACCAGTTGTCAGGGAGAGCCAACCCCACCCAGCCAACCTCACCCCAAACTGGGAGCTTGCATCAAGAGATCAGCTGGCAAGATCAATACACAGGCTGTTTCCAAAGAAATCTGAGCGCGAGGGGTCTTTCCTCGTTCGAGCACACTCAGCCCGACCCCGCGGCCAGGGCCACGCTCGCCCTTGGCGTGCACAGGGAATCACACGTTGTGGCCACAAACACTCGGACACTAAACACTCCACAGCAGAACCCACTTGAGCTCCTAACAAACAAAGGAGCTCTGCTTGGCTCATGGGGACACGAACCAGAAGCGCAGCGTCCAGCATGAAGAGGACCTGCTGATGCGCTCGCATTTTCCACTCTTTCTGTCTGAGCATAAGCAATTTTTCAGGACTGGGGAAATAGTGGATCCAAAATGGAGCACGAGTAGGGAAGTCCTTCCAAAAGAATGGGATTTCATAACCCACCAAAAGGCACACTCAAAAACTAGGACAAAATGCTGTGCTTAGCATCCCTGCAAGGCGGCAGGACTCACTGTGCGTTACAGCACACCAGTTACCCATCCTGAGGTGTACG